GATGTATTTCTATTTGTATCCATCTGATCAGTTAAGCCTTTTTCAACTGATTTTTATAGTTTGTTCTTATGTTGTACTGTTACACCAATGTCCCAGGTTAGGGGAGGGTTGAGCGCTCACAAACATGTTTAACCCCGCCACTTCTTTATGTGCCTGTCCCAAGTCAGGAGCCTGTAGTTCAGTGTTTGTCGTTGGTTTATGTCTCATATTTTTTTTTCGTAAATTGTTTTGTTATAAATTATGTTATTAGTTTTCTCAATTGAATTGTTTCATATTTTTCATGTCGGGGCCTATTATAGCCAACCATACAGTATTGGTTTTTCTCATTGTTGAAGGCCGTGCGGTTGGCTATAATTGCTTACATCCACTTCATTTGAACTTTGGTGGATAGTTGTCTCATTGGCAATCATACCACATCTCCTAATATTTTTATATTAAAGGATGATTTACATTAAGCATGGAAAAAGTAACCTGGTGCAATAATTCCTCTGGAAATTATACACTGGTGGAAGGAATACACTGTTACATTTGCAAACCATAAAAATGCTTGTTTTTGGCCACTTTATGGCCCCTAATTACAAAACAGCTATAACAAAAAAAAAACAAAATCAATCCAAACCCTCCTATTGTGGTATGGAACCTTGTGATAAAATTTCATAGAGATCCATACACTTATACTCAAGTTATTGTCTGCGAACCAAAATGTCTTCGGATGACAAGAAAAATGCTTGTTTTTGGCCCCTAATTACAAAACAGCTAAGACAATAACCCCAAAAATCAATCCCAACCTTCCTATTGTGGTATGGAACCTTGTGCTAAAATTTCATTATACTCAAGTTATTGTCTGTGAACCAAAATGTCCTCATACGACGACGCAGGCATTGCCGTAACATAATACGAACACGAAAAATTTTGCAGTCGTATAATTTTGGAAGTCACAAATTTCCATAGGAACATACAAAATAAAATATATCCATTTATTATGGTTTTATAGTTGTCTTTTCTTTTATTGCAAAAGAATTGAAACCCTTCCTGAGAATCAGTTCCTCTTTGTCAAGGTAAAACATTACTTGCAAAAATTTAATACCATGTTATTGACAATATTGCAAAAGAAATGAAACCTTTCCTGAGAATCAGTTCCTCTTCATGCAAGGTATTAAATTTTTGCAAGTAATTTTTTACCTGTTATTTATAGTTATTTAAGTATGAGTTCATCTTTGCCTATTGGGATCTACCACAGGATAGTTTATTTACATTCATCTGCTGGGATCTAAATTAAGATAGCTTTATTCACATTCACCTATTGGAATCTACCACAGGATCTACTGTGGATTCATTATTATTCGTGGGATACCAATGTTTTTGAGGATTTCTGGATGCAGCCCCAGTGAACCACAAGTTAAAATGTTCAACTTATTACTAGTTTCTATAAGCTTGTATGCTGACTTTGGCAAAACCATGATAACAAATATCCAAGGAAAAACTAGTTTTCCTCAACCCACAAAAACTGGTACCCATGAAAATAAATCCACAGTATTTTTATTCCCATTAACCTGCTGGGATCCACCACAGGATAGTTTATTCAGGTTCACATGTAGCAAAGGATCTAACACGGGTTCTTGAAATTCAACTGTTTTGTCTTCTGGGATCTACCACAGTCTGCTTTATCCACATTCGCCTTTTAGGATCTACCACAGGCCACAAAAGTTTTATATTTTTGTATGTTAATTGTAAGACAACTTAGACAAGAGTGCACACGCTGTAATGTCTCGCCTGATTTACTTATGACTGAATTCCTGTTGAAAGTCTGTAATATGAAGGTTTTCTACAAGTATCACATAAACTTAACATTATCAATGTTCTATGAAAATGAGGTCACAGTCAGTTGAACCATGCCAGACAGACATGTACACCTTACAATCATTCAATACACCAAATGTAGTGGTCCTATCGCTAATAATACCTGAAAAAACCCACAAAATCTTAACATTTCCAATGAAATGAAGTCAAGGTTATATGAACCCTGCCAGACAGACATGTACACCTTAGAATCATTCCATACACCAAATATAACTGACCTATTGTTTATAGTATCTGAGATACAGACTTGCATGACCATGTATCTTCAACTTTGATCACTGATCCATGGAACGAGGTCGAAGTCAGGTGAACCCTACCTGATGACATGAAAACTGAAAACGTTGCAAGGAACCCATATACCAAATATAGTTATCCTATTACTCATGATATGTGAGTATTTCACTTAACAAAATAAAAATCTCCGCAGAGTGCAGCTTAATATGACGTTAGAGGTCGAACCCTGAACAATTGGGACAAGATTGGACATTACATTCAAGCTTGATACAGCTGTGAATTTGGATTGTGATTAAATATTTGACACAGAATGAATGTGGTCAAAGAACTGAAAAATTTGAAATTGAACTGTTACCTATTCAGGTCCAATATCCAAAATCTAAATACATGGATAAATTCAGCATCTATTAATTTAACCTATAATTATTTTTCAAAATATTTATACATAATTTCTAAAATTAGAATTTGATGCTATATCTATTTTTAACTATGAATCTACTTACAATTTCTATTAATTGTCCAATACAGCTCTGCATTTGGATTGTGATTAAATATTTGAAATGCCATAGGTTTCTGACATAGAATGTATGTTGTCTAAGAACTTAAAAAATTGAAATTTGACATTTACCTATTATGGTCCAATATCTAAAATCTAAATACATGGTTAGATTCAGCATATCAAAGAACCCCAAGAATTCAGTCTTTGATGAAATCAAACAAAATTCAATTTTGGATTCTTTGGACCTCAATGTGGACCAATTTAAAAACGGGGTCCAAAATCCAAAATCTAAATACACGGATTAGATTCAGCATATCAAAGAACCCCAAGAATTCAAAACTTTGAATTAAACCCCATTGAAATTGGTCAAGCAATAAGCAATTTATACAAATTATCAGAAAAGTATTGTTTTATGGCTTCTTTTTCCTAAGCGGTTAGGACCACAACCCCCAAAATCATACCCAACATCCCTTTTATGGTATGGAACCGACATTAAACTTTTAAAACCCATAGAAACAGATGTAAACAATTCAAATATACCAACTTGGCCATTTTTACCTTCTTTAACAAAGAATTTCTATGTTTAATTTCAACTGGATATCAGCCTGTTTGTGTCCAATACTTGTCAAAAAAAAAAATTTTCTCTTCAAAATCAAGGGTAAATTGGGAGAGGCTAGCTGCTAATACTAGTATTTTATCATCCTGAAGAACTTTCAGGTGGCATATAATCCAAAAATTGCATGATGTATATGAACTGATAAAGGGGGGGATGGGGGGGGGGGGGGGGGGAGGGGTTATTTCTAGATAAAAATAATGGTTTCATTAGTGACACACAATTAAACTGTAATTATTAAGTCTCCCTAACAAAGTTAAGTCTAGTTTGTGCATTGGGAAGATCTATTAAGGGGTACTTTGAGGGCCCAAAAGAAAGGAGGTGTTTACCATAGGACCCTAGGGGATTTTTTGGAATTTCATTGTCAAAATAATTTGAACAAGCATTCTGAGAGTATTGCATAGCAATACAGTCCCCTGCCAGTTAAAAATTCATTGTACTGGAACAAAATGCTAACTTGATCTATAACTTGTCATGGTGTAAACTATATAACAAATATCAAGTCAATATCTTCAAGCATGACGGAAAAAAGTGTGGAAAACTGATTATTTAAGTGAATTTTCTAAGTCCAGGGACCATAACTCTGCACAAAATCATCAGACCGGAACAAAATTCGAACTTGATCTGTAACTTGTCATGATAAAACTATATACCAATTATCAAATCAATATCTTCAAGCATGACGAAAGAAAGTGTGGAAAACTGATTAGCCGGACTGCCGGACTGACGGATGGACAGACAGACAGACAGACAGACAGACAGACGGAATGCAAACCTTAAGTCCCTTTCGACTTCGTCGGTTGGGGACTAATAATATATAGGGTTCATCCCCAGGGTTCATCCCCAACCCCTATCATTTGAGAATGTTCAAATATCTTGTTAGTGGTCAAGATCCCCACCCTTAAACCAAACATATTCCTGTTTGTCATGTTAAAATGATTTTAATGATTTATAGGGTGAGTCCCCAGGGGTCATCCCCTGTCATTTGAGAATGTTCAAATATCTTGCTAGTGTTCAAGATCCCCAACCCTAAACCATATACTGTGGAATCATTTATTTTGGTGGATATCAATTTTCGTGGATTGAAGAAATTTTGCATTTTCATGGATATTTGATTATATGATTTTGCCAATGTCTGCATACAAGCCTATGGAAAATTGGTTTTTAGTTGAACATTTAAATTTGTGATTATACTATGCCTGGGAAAACTAGTATCCAACGAATAATAATGAATCCACAGTATATTCCAGTTTGTCATGCCAATAAGATATGAAATGATATACAGGGTTAGTCCCCAGGGATCATCCTATTCCCCTGCCATTTTTGAATGTTCTATTATCTTTAAATGTTTGAGATCCCCACCCCTATTCAACCATATATATTCCTGTTTGTAATTTCAAAATGATTTGAATGATATGTAAAAGAAGTCCCTAGGGGTCATCCCCACCCTTGCAATATGAGAAGGTGTTATATGATTAGAAGTCACTCACCTGGTGAGATGCCTGATTCAGTGATTGTCTGTTATTAAGTTATTTTGTTCTTCTTCGAGAGGATGTTTCTCTTAATGATGATGCTACACAGGTATATTTCTTGTATTCTCCAAGGGGCATTCTCGAAAAAATTCAAATTTTTTGAAAGAAGGGGAGAATGTTTTTACAAAAAACAGATTAATCAAGTATAATTTTGTTAATCAATACTCGGTACAAACTAGCAATACTTGAATAAGTATACATAGTAACACTACTTAAATATTGTATCTAGATTACATTATGATTATATCACATTACTACTCACCATCACTGTTTTCTGGACTGTAGTATTCAGCATCTTCTCTACCACGTCTCTGACCTTCTACATCTCCAAGCAATGGTGATCTTTCATCATAGTGACCCATAGTTACTGAAACAATACATTTGGTTGCTTTAAATTCATAAGATAAGTCAAAAGAAACATTACATCAAAATAAGTCAGAACAATTACATACAAGAATAAACTGTTGACACAGAAATATGTTCCACCTTTATGTTATTTTGATAGTACATGTATAATGCAAATATGAAATAAAAATTCATAAGTGGTTCCGCAGAACCCTGTGTCTCGCCTGCGATTGCTGATATAAGTGTAAAAGTGTAATGTTGACTTAAAAAGTGAGTCCATTAATCAGTAAAATACAGAATTGAAAAAAAAATCAAACTTTTTCTTTAGATGCTATTTCGTGGTCTTGAAGATTAGCTTCTGTTCAAGTTTCATAACAATCCATGAAGGATATATATATTTTCAAAAGTTTGCTTCAGACATTATCGCTTAATCATAACAAAGCTTGTGCCAAAGTTTCATAAAATTCTATGACGGTTTGAAAAAGTAATTGATGTTAAACAAACTTGAACTCCAGACTGTATCTATTTGTTAACTTTAAAAAAAACTAAGTCCGTTTATCACTTAAAAATGGAAAAATGAAAATAAATATTTTTAAAAATTTTACTGTAAATACTGTATTTTGGTCATAACTAAGCTTCTGTCCAAATTTCCTAAAATTCCATGAAGTTTGAAAAAGTTATTGATGACTAAAAAACTTTAACCTCAGACTGTATCTACTTCTTAACTGTAAACAAAAACAAGTCCATTTATCAGTAAAATATTGAAAAATGAAAATAAATATTTTCAAAATTTTGCTAATTGGATACTGTCTTTTGGTCATAAACAAGCTTCTGTCCAAATTCATAAAATTCCATTTAGGTTTGACAATGTTATTGAAACTTTAACCACAGACTGAACCTAAATGTTGACGAAACCGTAACCACCACTGGCAACAGAATCTAGGATCGCTATGTCTCACTTTTGTGAAAAAATTTTTGCAGGCTCGACAAAAATGGCAATGCTTTAACATGTAAAATATGCAAAGCATACAAAGTCAATGGATTCCAAACCATGACTGAAGGTGCAGGGCCAAATGAATTCCACGGAAATGAGAAATTCTAATGCTCAGATAACTGCATACCAATGCAAATATCATTGACTAGCATAAGTGGTTCACTTTAAACTAACATGAACACAAACTTTAACATGTAATCTTTGCAAATGTTTCAAGATTAATCAAACATGATGACTCAGTGAGGACCATATAATTTCGATGGAAATGAGTCTTGCATTGCAAATGCTAATACAACTGCATACCAAATATCATTGATCTACCACTAGTGCTTAAATCCCCTTAAATTGACCTAACCACAAACTAATACATGGTTTATACTGCTGATGCCCAAACAGCACACCTTAGTCTTGCTATTTTGACTTTGATGAGACTAGACAAAATTTAAATAGGCATTTAAATCATGATGAAATTGGACATAGAAATAAATCTAAGTTTTATTTGAATTAAAAAATAATATGTTTCTCTCTAGATCTTTTAACCTTGACAATATAAACTCATCACAGATATCAGGATGCCAGATGCACATTTCGTCTACAAAAGACTCATCAGTGACGCACAAATCAAATAAATGGAGAATGCGTCTATGGGACACAGATCATGCCCCCACTTGCGTAATATTATAAAGGGACATAACTAGAGAACTGTAAAAGTAACGCCACCCAAATTTGAACTTGATCTGTGTTTTATGGTAATAAGCATTGTGTAAAAGTTTCTTAACATTAGGTTGAGGCAAGCTAAAGTTTAAGAACGGAAAGAAAATTTTAGCAATTTTAACATTTGTAAAGGGGCATAACTCAAGAATGGAAAATGTGACGCAACCCAAATTCAAATGTGATCTGCGTTTTGTGGTAAGAAGCATCAAAATTAGTTCAACATCAGAATATTTAAAAAATAACTCTAGAATGGCAAAAGTGACACCACCAAAATTCAAGCTTGATTTGTGTTTTGTGGTAATAAGCATTGTGTATAAGTTTCATAACATTTGGTTGAGACAAACTAAAGTTAGAGAACGGAAACGAAAATTTTAGCAATTTTTCCATTTGTAAAGGGCATAACTCAAGAATGGAAAAAGTGACGCAACCCAAATTCAAATGTGATCTGTGTTTTGTGGTAAGAAGCATTGTGTATAAGTTTCATAACATTTGGTTGAGTCAAACTAAAGTTAGAGAACATAAACTAATTTTGGGACATACATACGTACAGACAAGGGTAACACTTAAAGCCCCTTCCACCGTGGCGGGGGACATAAAAAGTTAAAAAGGCAACATAAATTACATCCTTGTCAAATGAGTCTTGTATTATTATGTAAAACATCTTTTATTTTCATATGCACGTAAAAACAAGTTTAACCCTGCCACATTCTATATGTGTATGTCCCAAGTCAGGAGTCTATCATTGAGTGGTTGTCTTTTGTTGCTGTTTATCATATTTAATGTTTTGTACAGTTTGTTCTTTAGCTGTTCTGTTGCACCACTGTCCCAGGTTTAGGGGAGGGTTGGGTGACCACTAACATGTTTAACCCTGCCACATTCTGTATGTGCCTGTCCGAAGTCAGGAGCCTATACCTCAGTGGATGTCTTTAATAGCTTGCTATGTGGTATGGGCTGCTTGCTATGAGGTATGGGTTGTACTCATCGTTAAAGGCTGTACTGTGACCTATAGATGCTAATTTCTAAGTCATTTGGTCTCTGGTGGAAAGTTGTCTCATTGGCAATCATACAGCATCTTCTTATCTTTATATTTTATAGATGTATTTTGGTTCTTTGTTGGTTTTTTTCCACTATTTGTAAAATGTTTTAGTGTTTTTATACTTAATCTATAGCTATCATATAATAAACTGTTAACACAGAGATATGTCTCGCCTTTTTGTAATTTTGATAATGCAAATGTTGAAATTAAAATAGCAATACTTTAACATGTAAGTTATGCAAATATTTAAAGTCAATGAACCATGACTGAAGGTACATGGCTAAGCAATCTCCATGGAAATGAGATGTGCCAATGCTAATACAACTGCATACCAAATACCATTGACTTGTCACAAGTTGTTCCCTTTCAACAAACCTAAACACAAACATTAACTTGTAAACTATGTAAGAGCTTCAAAGTCAATGAACCATGATGAGGGGGTGGGGCTATATAATCTCCATGGAAAGGAGACTTGCAAATGCCAATAAATTTGCATACCAAATATCATTGACTTAACATTAGCGGTTCATCTTAAACTGATCTAATCACAAACTAATATATGAAAACTAATCAAAAGTTTCAAAGTCAATAGACCATGACTGAGGGGGCTGGGCCAAATATTCTCCATGGAAATGAGATGTACTAATGCTTATACAACTGCATACCAATTTACATTGGCCTACCACTAATGGTTCCCCTTGAACTGACCTAATCACAAACTAATTATACATCTAAACTAAGCAAAAGTTTCAAAGTCAATAGACTGAGGGGGCGGTGCCAAATAATTTCCATGGAAATGAGATATGCCAATGCTTATACAAGTGGATACCAAATATAATTGATGTACCATTAGTGGTTCCCAATAAACTGACCTAATCACAAACTAACACATGTAAACTAAGCAAAAGTTTCAAATTCAATAGACCATGACTGAGGGGGCAGGGCCAAATAATCTCCATGGAAATGAGATGTGCCAATGCTAATACAACTGCATATCAAATATCAATGACCTACCACTAGTGGTTCACCATAAACTAGATCTAATAACAAACTAATACATTGTTGATGCCGCCGACGACGCTGGAAACAGCATACCTATGTCTCCCTTTTTGACTCCGTCAAGGAAAGACATATTAAAGAACCTTAGTGAGCGCGCTCACATACCCCACGTCCCCACTTTGTCACTGGAGAAATAAAATAACTGTAAGAAAAAAAAATTGTATAAGAAAAAAAAATTGAATCATATTTTCCTGTCTATATGCACATCTACATAGTATGTCCTTATTATCTACAAAGTTTCATGAAATTCTGTTGTGTGGTTTCAGAAGAGTTGCGATGACAAACTGTTGCAGAGGTATATTGAAGCAAATAAGTTCAAAGGGGCGCAACTCCTAGAAAAAAAATTGAATCATAATTTCCTGTCAATATGCACATCTATCTAGTATGTCCTTATTATCTACAAAGATTCATGAAATTCTGTTGTGTGGTTTCAGAGGAGTTGCGATGACAAACTGTTGCAGAGGTATATTGAAGCAAATAAGTTCAAAGGGGCGTAACTCCTAGAAAAAAAATTGAATCGTAATTTCCTGTTATATGCACATCTACGTAGTATGTCCTTATTATCTGAAAAGGTTTCATGAAATTCTGTTGTTTGGTTTGAGAGGAGTTGCGATGACAAAAGGTTGCAGTAGTATATTAGGCAAATAAGTTAAAAGGGGCGTAACTCCTGGAAAAAAAATTGAATAGTAATTTCCTGTCGATATGCACATCTACGTAGTATGTCCTTATTATCTACAAAGTTTCATGAAATTTTGTTGTGTGGTTTCAGAGGAGTTGAGATGACAAACTGTTGCAGTAGTACATTAAAGTAAATAAGTTCAAAGGGGCGTAACTCCTAGAAAAAAAATTGAATCGTAATTTCCTGTCGATATGCACAACTGCATAGTATGTCCTTATTATCTAAAAAGGTTTCGTGAAATTCTGTTGTGTGGTTTGAGAGGAGTTGCGATGACAAGAAACAGGACTTATGGACTGATGGACTGACGGACTGACAGACTGACGGACTGACGGACGGACAGACGGACGGACGGGTCATAAACATTATACCCTCCACAACTCGTTGCATGGGGTATAAAAATGGTGTTTTTATATTTAATTCATCATATAAAAATTGGTGTTTTTATATTTAATTCATCATATAATAAAATGCTTCGCTGGGGCGCAGCTTGATACGACCGCAGAGGTCGAACCCTGAACAGTTGGGGCAAGTATGGACACAACATTCAAGCTTGATACAGCTCAAAATTTGGATTGTTATTAAATATTTGACACAGCATAGGTTTCTGACACAGAAAGAATGTGGTCTAAGAACTTGAATTTTTTTAATTTACCTATTATGGTCCAATGTCCAAAATCAAAATACATGGTTAGATTCAGCATATCAAAGAACCCCATATATTCAATTTTTGTTAAAATCAAACAAAGTTTAATTTTGGACCCCAACTTGGACAAACTTGAAAACTGGGCCCATAATCAAAAATCTAAACACATGTTTAGATTCAGCATATCAAAGAACCCCAAGAATTCAATTTTTGCTAAAATCAAACTAAGTTTAATTTTGGACCCTTTGGACCTTAATGTAGACCAATTTAAAAAACGGGACTTAAAATTAATAATCTAAATATACGGTTAGATTTGGAATATCAAAGAACCCCAATAATTCAATTTTTGATAAAATCAAACAAAGTTTAATTTTGGACCCTTTTGACCTCAATATGAACCAATTTGATAGCGGGGCCCACAAATAAAAAATCTAAATTCATGGTTAGATTCAGCATAACAAAGAACCCCATATATTCAATTTTTGTTGAAATCAAACAAAGTTTAATTTTGGACCCCAACTTGGACCAACTTGAAAACTGGGCCCATAATCAAAAATCTAAACACATGTTTAGATTCAGCATATCAAAGAACCCCAAGAATTCAATTTTTGTTAAAATCAAACTAAGTTTAATTTTGGACCCTTTGGACCTCAATGAAGACCAATTTAAAAAACGGGACCCAAATTAAAAATCTAAAAACACGGTTAGATTTGGCATATCAAAGAACCCCAATAATTCAATTTTCGATGAAATCAAACAAAGTTTAATTTTGGACCCTTTTGACCTCAATATGAACCAATTTGATAGCGGGGCCTACAAATAAAAAATCTAAATACATGGTTAGATTCAGCATATCAAAGAACCTCATATATTCAATTTTTGTTGAAATCAAACAAAGTTTAATTTTGGACCCTTTTGACCTCAATATGAACCAATTTGATAGCGGGGCCCACAAATAAAAAATCTAAATTCATGGTTAGATTCAGCATAACAAAGAACCCCATATATTCAATTTTTGTTGAAATCAAACAAAGTTTAATTTTGGACCCCAACTTGGACCAACTTGAAAACTGGGCCCATAATCAAAAATCTAAACACATGTTTAGATTCAGCATATCAAAGAACCCCAAGAATTCAATTTTTGTTAAAATCAAACTAAGTTTAATTTTGGACCCTTTGGACCTCAATGAAGACCAATTTAAAAAACGGGACCCAAATTAAAAATCTAAAAACACGGTTAGATTTGGCATATCAAAGAACCCCATATATTCAATTTTTGTTGAAATCAAACAAAGTTTAATTTTGGACCCCAATTTGGACCAACTTGAAAACTGGGCCAAAAATCAAAAATCTAAATACATGTTTAGATTCAGCATATCAAAGAACCTCATATATTCAATTTTTGCTAAAATCAAACAAAGTTTAATTTTGGACCCTTTGGACATTAATGTAGACCAATTTGAAAACTGGACCCAAAATTAAAAATCTAAATACACTGTTAGATTCGGCATAACAAATAAATAAATGTGATCAAAGATTTTACAAATCTAATGCGCCATACTGTGCAATTAAAGATTACTTCTTGAAATTTTTCAATATTTGAAATTTGAAAAAAAAATAATATTTGAAGAATAATTCTTTTTAATTTCTGAAATCTGAAATGAGAAAAAATTGGCCCCCCCACAATTTCTTTTTATCCCCCCCCCCCCCCCCTTTTTTCCCCCAAAAAAATTCTTTCCCTCAAGATATGGTCATAATCTCAATTCAAATTTCCAATGGAGTTGGCAACCATAATTACCCATTTAAATTTACCATAGTGCTAACTTAATCTATTTTATAATAGAATTAATAAAAATATAGTGTCAAATCTTTCATATGGATTTTTTTGTAAAAAAAAAAGATGAAAACATTTGCAGATATTTTTACTGGTCTTCCTTTATAAATATTCATTTTTTTAAACATAATTTAAAAGCAGTGTAAGGGAAGTAACCAAAACGTTGTATTTGAATTACCTCCCTTACACTGTTTTAGATTATCTTTATTGTTCATTAACCATTACTTTATACATAATTTAAAAGCAGTGTAAGGGAGATAATTTCAATGATGTATTTGATTTATCTCCCTTACACTGCTTTAAATTATGTTTTGTACTAAAGTATTTGTCCATTAACCAGGACAACCTTGTTTTTCCCCCTTTTTTGCCCCTAATTCCTAAACGGTTTGAGCCATAACCCCCCAAAGCAAATCCTAACCATCCCTTTGTGGTATGGAAACTTGTAGTATAATTTCAGAGAGATCCATACACCGTTCCACAGTTATTGTCTGGAAACTAGAAAATGCTCATTTTTGGCCCCTTTTTGGCCCCTAATTCCTTAACTGTTGGTACCATAACCCCCAAAATCAATCCCAACCTTCCTTTTGTGGTATTTAACCTTATGGTCAAATTTCAAAAAGATCCATTCACTTAAACTAAAGTTAGAGTGCGAAAACCAATGTGTCTTCGGACGACGACGACGACGACGACGACGACGACGCCGGACGACGACGACGACGACGTCATACCAATATACGACCACAAAATTTTTTTGCGGTCGTATAAAAATTGGTGTTTTTTTATTTAATTTATTATATAAAAATAAGAAGATGTGGTATAATTGCCAGTGAGACAAATATATATAATATATTGATAAAAGTATATGATTGCAGATGTCAATTCTTGGGGAAAATATGTATCATAAGTAAATTGTCTTTGATCAATTAAATAAGTTAAAACTAACATTATCTATCATCTGATCTAAACTGACTGTGCATGCACCATTCAATATTCTATCAAATGGCAACATTAAGTAATTGATGGAATAACTTATGGTTATCTCATTTTTTTTTATAATTAATGAAGTGAAAATGTGTTGTATTTGTCAACACAACAAAATCTTAATGAAAGCCAAGAATCATGCAGACAGATAAGTCCACTATATATTAACCACAGATTGAAAGGGATGCATGATTATGTGGAATCACGGACTTGAAGGAAAGAGAACTGTACATGTTACTAAGCTGCATGAACTAAGAAATACATCACCTTTAAATACTGGTATACAATTTAAAATTCAACAGAACTAGAGAGTACTCTTTGTTATTGGTTTTGAAGTTTTTACTGACATAACTAAAGAAAGGTAAAAGTGACCTAACCCAATTTCAAATTTGATCTGTGTTTTGTGGTAATAAGCATTGTATATAAGTTTCATAACATTTTGTTGAGGCAAACTAAAGTTACAGAACAGAAACTAATTTTGGGACATACGTATGGCTGCGGGGGGACATAACAAGAAAAAGACACAAAGACAAACAACAGTATACAATACACAACATAGAAAACTAAAGATTGAGCACCAATAACGGGGGGTCATCTCAGGTGCTCCAGAAAGGTAAGCAGCCAGACACGTGTGGCACCTGTCATGATGCTCATGTTAGTAAAAACTCGGTGATAAGTCTAATTCAGTAGGTCACCTTCGAGGAAAAGGAGGACAGGATTGTGGTTACGAAGATTGGAACACATCCATCTTCATCTGTGAAACAAATATTCCATAACGATCAACCAACTCATGATGGTGTCCTTAAGGTGGATCATTTGTATATATTTGCTCGGATAGAATTTTCTTATACTTTGCCAGAATCTAGATTTTTCCACGCTTTTTTCAAAAATATAATAAAAAGTATGGGTCAGAGTGCTATTCCTGCAAAATTGGTCAAACAGAGATTGTTCATGAAAAAACACTTTTTTGTGAATAAAAAGAAATCTATGAGATAGAATTTTGAAATAAAATAAGAGAAGATAGGTTTTAAAATATGCTTTAAAATATGCTTTAAGAAAATTTAAAAAAAAATTGTGTCACCAAGTAAACCTTGTTTTCTTGCTACAAGTAAATTGATTTCTCTATCATTCCTTTATAAAAAAATTTACTATTTGAGTTATCTCCTTAAACATTTGTTAAATGGCTAAGTTGACAATTTGATTCAAACCCAAATAAATATTTGATATTTGATAAATCAGTCTGAACAAGCATTCTGAGAGTATTGCATGGCAATACATAGTCCCCTACCGGTTAAAACTTAATTGTACTGGAACAATATGCTAACTTGATCTATAACTTGTCATGGTGTAAACTATATAACAAATATCAAGCATGATGACAAAAAGTGTGGAAAACTGATTATTTAAGTGAATTTTCCAAGTCCAAGGACCATAACTCTGCACAAAATCATCAGACCAGAACAAAATTCAAACTTGGTCTGTAACTTGTCATGATAAAATTATATACTAATTATCAAATCAATATCTTCAAGCATGACGAAAAAAAGTGTGGAAAACTGATTATTTGAGTGAATTTTCTAAGTTAAAGGACCATAACTCTGCACAAAATCATCAGACCGGAACAAAATTCGAACTTGATCTGTAACTTGTCATGATAAAACAATGTACCAATTATTAAATCAATATCCTCAAGCTAACTAAAAAAAGTGCGGAAAACTGAATATTTGAGTGAATTTTCTAAGTCCACGGACCATAACTCTGCACAAAATTATCAGACCGGACCAAATTTCGAACTTGATCTGTTACTTGTCATGATAAAACAATATACCAAATATCAAATCAAAATCTTCAAGCACGAAGAAAAAAAGTGTGGAAAACTGATTTTTTGTTTGAATCAAGAGTGATTTTTTACAAAGTACGATTTATCCCTCCCTAAGACAAGATACATGTATTTAAGTTGGCCATTCTTTTTTAAGAAACAAAGCAGGACCAACTCTCTTGATTTGTCTTTTAATTTGGAATGGTGAATATGTGTGTAAAGTGTAGAAATTGCAAGATCAAAGAGTCTTAGATTGTATGTACATGTACTCTAACAGATCTTTGGAATTTTTTAGTATCCACATCTCGATTCATGCCGCCTCTAGAATACGTAATTTCACAATTACTTTTAAGGCTGTTTTTGATTGCTGATAAAATTTCTGATAATAGTTTTGAAAGAGGTTTCATGGAGCACATGGAAGATCCAGCAATATACAATGTAACCATGTTTGAAAGGATACTGATGTAATTAAGGTATCCAAATAAATATATGAAGATGCCGTTGGTAATAGTGTAGTTGTAAAGCTCCCCTGACAGGTTTCCTGTTTCTTGCAATGTTTTCATTCAAAATAATGGCATAAACTGCCTCTAATGTTCATATATCTTTTTTCAAAGTTCCTGAAATATTAATAATTGCAGCCCATAAAAGTCATCACTCATCAGCATTCAGTTTCAAACATTTCCTCACTTTTAAGGCAAGGTAAGAGTACTGTTTAACAGTTCCACCTATTTCATCACCTCAAAATACTGCTATGTACAATATACTTCTAAATTATGTTTATTCTCTTTAATTATTGAGAAGACAAGATTACATTGTATAAATCTGAATCAATAGTTACAGAACTGGAACAAGCCGTTAAATGACAGAAAAAACAAAAGTTGCAGGTGAAGTTTTGATGATGTAATGTGTTGTTGACTTTGTGATAAATAAAACAACATGGTGATATTAAACTGATATCCCATTTACTGAAGTCTCATCAGCTGTCTTTTAATTGAAATTTTGCAAAATCCATCTGCACAATCATATGATGATTTGGAAGATAAGCCTTCAAATCTTTGAATGTATGGTAATAAAATTGTATGCAATAATTAATTAAACATGTTCTTTAAACTCTTTAAACTTTAGTTATCTTTCAAAAATATTTGAAAAACTGCTTCTGGCACTAAATTTCATCATTTCAAAACAAAGTTCATTTTTGGTCCAGTGTTAGTATTACAGAAGACCATTCATGATATTGAAGCGGACCACTGTCAAAAGGTAAAAAAGCATCTAAATCATAGTGGTCAGAAACATCCTTCACAATCCGAGGGTTGACTGATAAGGGAAAAAAGTCTGAGTTTTTCACAAAAAATGATTTTTTTTCGTCTCATTCTAAAATGCCACTCCCCCCTCCCCCCCCCCCCCCCCCCCCAGCAAAAATCCAGATTGTCACAAAACACTGTCAAATATTTTTAAGAGCATAATCCTTCATTGCATAAAAGGGGGAAACAATTCAAGTAATATTCAATTCTCACACGTTAAACCTATTTCTCTTATGGTAAAAAATCTTTGTGTGAAAAAGAAAATTCTATGAATCGTTGTGCTTATCCTTTGCATTAAGTTAAAAGAGTACAACTACATAAGTCTGATTTTGGTATCAAATATGAACATCAGATGTTTTCAAGAGTTTTGTACACTTCAAAACATTTGAGGTGAGACGTGTTTTTGTATACAATTAAAGAAATCATAAATTTGAATTGCCATGGGGGAAATGTAGTCTGCTGTGAAGTCACCATTTACCTAAGGAATAGCCAATGGAAATGTCACAATTTTTGTAACTCATTGCAGGATAGGCCCAAACCAAATTAACAAGTTTTTCAGAATCACTTATTCATATCACACTCTGTTCAGTGTGATACAAGGAATATCTCTTCATACAGGAAATGGATAGCAGGCCCTAACCATAAGAGAATTTACTTTACATGATATGACATAAAACTCTATTTACCTTTCTTTCTTGCCTTTTTCTCAGATGGCAAGACTTTAAAATCCAGAAACCATGTCTCAACCCATGCCATGCTAAATGATACTATCAACAATACATAGCCTATGCATTGTCATGCTCTGTATCAGCAAACTGAAAAAATGAGAGCATGAAACATTAATATTACTATTGTTTATTATTATCAATGTAAGTTCAAAAATATTTGGTTTATTTTTACTATGGGTCTGTTTATGAAATCTTTACATCTTATATTATACATACATTAAGCAATTTTACAAAATAAATGTATACAAATTCAAAACATTTGAAAATTGTAATGTGTTTCTTTCCTGATGATTATATTTGTGTTCTACTAATTCAATGCCAGAGAAGAATATCTGTCCTCTAAGTAAGTGATACTTAATTACTGGTAAGAATTAATTGAAAAGGATGATCTCTCACAAAGTAACAATTAGGTAAACAGTACTATGAACATTCCAAATGCTCTCTTATCAATTTTAATATTCTTACTCCGATCAAATTAAACCAAGAGTTCCAAGTGGTGAATCTGAATTCATTCCCTTCGAAAAATCTTACAGACACCATCACGAGTTGGTTGACCAATATGGAATATCTGTTTGACAGATGACAACGGGTATGTTCCTATTGTAGTAACCACAATCACTTCCTCCTGTTCCCTGAATATGACCGACCGAATTAGACTTATCACTGGGTTTGTACATACATGAGCAACACAACGGGAGCCACATGTGGAGCAGGATCAGCTTACCCTTCTGAGCACCTAAGATCACCTTCAGTTTTTAGTGGGGTTAGTGTTGCTCAGTCTTTAGTTTTCTATGTTATGTTGTGTATACTGTTGTTGGTCTTGTGGTCTTTTTCTTTTTTGCCATGGCGTTGTCAGTTTATTTTCGACTTATGAGTTTGAATGTCCCTTTGGTATCTTTCGCCTATCTTTAAGCTTAAAATAGATAATCCTTTGATTCATCATAATAAAAGTAAAGAAATGATATGAAATCTTCCTGACAATGAAAAAATACATTGAATTCTTGTTCAGTAATAAATAAATGTTTCCCTTTTTGACACTAAAAATATATATTGTTTATAAATTTAAATAGAGAATAGTAAGAATTTTCAACTACCTACTTGTCTTAACTGATTAGAGGATCATAGACTTTTAAACAATGCCATCCAGACTTTATTTGATTTCAATAATGTCTGATTAAGTGTCATATTTCCATTACATTGTTCTAGTTATAATTTTACTCTATTTGAAGTTTTATTACCTGAAATTAAGGAGATTATCTAAACAAAAAGGTAAACATGATAAACCCATGCACTATAATTTCAAACTTCCAGCTATTGAATTAGCAGAACAATTTATTCTAATTTTTTTTATATACATTTTTTTAGAGGAAACTTACAACAGCAAGGATTTGTAAAGAGACTTACTAAACAAACTGACAATTTTGGTCATGTTGACTTATTTGTAGATCTTATCTTGGTGATCATTTTTGCTATACAAAGTTTCTGTCTATCTATTATAATTTTCGAAATAATAGGAAAAAAATTTAAAAATTGAAATTTGTCATTCAAGGGCAATAAACCCTGTAAGAAGTCATCTGACAGTTTTGACATGAACGGGCAATAGGTAGAGCGTTCTGAACATTTTTGCACCTGTCAGAATTTCTCTATTCATACCGGTTTTAAAAATAATAGGCAAAACTTGCATTTTACCTCTATTTTCTATTTTTAGCCATGTCGGCCATCTTGGTTGGCAGGTAGGGTAATCAGACACATTTTTAAAACTAGTTACCCGAATGATGATTGTAGCCAAGTTTGGTGTAATTTGGCCCAGTAGTTTCATAGAAGATTTTTGTAAAATTTAACATGTGACAACGGACGACAATGTCAATAACGACGGACAACAGATGCAGAGTGATGAGAAAAGCTCACTTGGCCTTTTGGCCAGGTGAGCTAAAAAGAATTGACAAAACAAATGTCACTAATTGAGCAGGAACTACTGACCCTTCTGGAGTTCATACCAGCTTTTGGTGGAGTTCAAGTTGCTTATCCTCTAGTTTAGTTGTGGATATCTTTTCACTGTTTTCTTTTTTGGACATGTGTTATACATTTTTATTTGACTTACAGTTTTTAATTGCCCCTTTTATCTTTTCCCTCTCTTTATAATGTCCTTAATAGAATATTAAAATGAAATACAAAACATATATTAAAAATACTTACATTAAACACAAAACACTTTGCCAATAGGAATGAGCAGGATAATGTAGTTGTAATCTGAATCAAAACAAAAAAGTGTGCAAGTATTAAAATCAAGATGCTTCATTATAACTTATTTTAACATTTTATTCAAAATTCTGTACACAAATTTACTTTGGGTATTGCACATGATTTAGTTTTCCTCAATAGATTAGTTTTATAGTATAGAACAGCATGATTTCTATATCAGCAGATTTGGAGTTTAGTATGACGTCCATTATCACTGAACTAGTATACATATTTGTTTAGGGGCCAGCTGAAGGACGCCTCCGGATGCGGGAGTTTCTCGCTGCATTGAAGACCCATTCAGGTGGCCTTTGGCTGTTGTCTGCTCTGGACACATTCCCCATTTCCATTCTCAATTTTACTACTGGTAACTGTAAGCATTATACAATTAGGGGTAGCCCAAATATTCTGACACCCCATCAGTCCAACACCCCATTGGTCTGACAACTCATTAGTCCCATTCACCTTAAGTTCGACATCAGAATATTTAAAAAATAACTCTAGAATGGTAAAAGTGACACCACCAAAATTCAAGCTTGATTTGTGTTTTGTGGTAATAAGCATTGTGTTTAAGTTTCATAACATTTGGTTGAGGCAAACTAAAGTTAGAGAACGGAAACGAAAATTTTAGCAATTTTTTCCATTTGTAAAGGGGCATAACTCTAGAATGGTAAAAGTGACGCCACCAAATTTCAAACTTGATCTGTGTTTTGTGGTAATAAGCATTGTGTATAAGTTTCATAACATTTGGTTGAGGAAACTAAAGTTAGAGAACGGAAACGAAAATTTTAGCAATTTTTCCATTTGTAAAGGGGCATAACTCTAGAATGGTAAAAGTGACGCCACCAAATTTCAAACTTGATCTGTGTTTTGTGGTAATAAGCATTGTGTATAAGTTTCATAAAATTTGAAAACTAAAGTTAGAGAATGGAAACCATTTCTGGGATGCACGGACAGACGGACGTACAGACGGACAAGGGTAAAACTTAATGCCCCCTCCGCTACGACGGGGGCATAAAAAATATTTATTTTTATATTAGAAAGCTAAATAAAAGGTTTGTTCAATATAATATATAGTCCTTTGACAGAACAGGGGATGCACGTCATCAAGATACGTTAGTAAATTAGTGCTAAAGTAGCATAGTTTCATCACCAGTGTAAATAAAAACACAAAATACTTTAGTTTTGTTGAATTACTTAGATATCTCTGGATACATAATCTCTCAAATACAGGTTAATGGGGATGCAGTAAAGAAATTAAGGAACCAATGAAGCTTTGCCGCTTACATGATTATATGTGTGAATTTGGCTTGAGTGAATAAGACAGGCATGTTTTTCTGGTATAACTCAAGGGTTAAAAAGTAACAACACTTATTTATTTGATTTTTTGAAAGGGGAGCTAAAATGCAGGTTTGCTGAAAATATTGACCGATAATCTTTTACATTGTACATGTATTAGTTTAACTGGAAAGAACAGAACATCAATAAAGAAATATTTTGTTTTTAAGAATTTGATTTTTAACGATACATATGCAATAAAAAATAGAAATCACTGCATGCTTTCAGAGTACACTCTCAGCCATTCTTATATGATTGATAGTTTTTTTTGTTTGCTTAATGTTCAGTTGTTAATGTACAGTAAATATTCACTGTAAATCAATTCTGACAGCAAATGCTAACTGTTTTAATGTATTTTCATCATTAGTTTATTTATTTGTACAGCCCAATAAATGAATGATTGCTTTTTCAGAAAGAAGAAATTAAAGGTCCTCACTGAACACAGGGTATCCCGATGCGAAATCCACGGAGGGATCAAAATTCTGAGGAACAATTAATGAAAAGTTTGTAACAGTGGGTACTGGTAGCACAGACTATAATTCCTCAGTTGGAATCGGATCCAGATTTTTATTACCCACTGTAACAAACTTTCATTCATTGCTCCTAAGTTCAGATCCCTTTGCAGTTTCAAATAAGGGATACCTGCTGTGTTGAATGAATTCCTCAGAGAACAACAGCTATTGTATTAATTCAATGGGACAGTTCATATTGCAAAATTTTAAATACCCACATAAACTGATTCTGGCAAAAGGTTTTATTTCCTTTGCAATAAAAGATTCTCTCTATTTCTCACTGGTGTATAAAATTTTAATTTATGGTATCTATGAAGAGTTAATTTACAACCACTGGGTGGTCAATGCCACTACTAGTGGAGGTTAAACTGTTAACAAAACTTTAAAATTTTTCAAAATTCTAAGGATTTTCTACCACAGGAATAGATTACCTAAGATGTATTTGGCAAAACCTTTTTGGAATTTTGGGTCCTCAATGCTCTTCAACTTTGTACTTTATTTAGACTTTTTAACCTTTTTTGATTGGAGAGTCACTGACTAGTCTTTTGTAGTTGAAACATATCCTTCTTTTAATTTTAATCCTGGTATCTATGATGCCCAAAACGCAAAAAGCAATAACTAATACTGACAATTTCAACTTTCTTGACCTAATTTTAGACAAGAGTGCACACGCTGAAATGTCTCGCCTGCTTTACTGGTCATTGACTTTATGTTGATAGTTCTTAAATATAAAGCTTTATTACAAGTGTCACATAAACTTAACATGATCCAAGAAAATGAGGCCAAGGTCAGATAAACCAAACTGGAAAGACATGTACACCTTACAATCATTCCATACACAAAATATAGTTGACCTATTTCTTATAGTTTCTAAGAAACAAACTTAACCAGGAAAATCTAACACTGACCATTGATGAACCACGAAAATAAGATCTAGGTCAGATGAACCATGCCAGACAGACATGTACACCTTACTATCAATTTATGCATTAAATATAGTTGACCTATTGCTCATATTATCTAAGAAACAAACTTAACCATGTAAACATTGACCAATGAACCATGAAAATGAGGTCAAGGTCAGATGATACCTGCCAGACAGACATATACACCTTACAATCATTCCATACACCAAATATAGTTGACCTATTGCTTATAGTATCTGATAAAGCACAAAAACTTAACTTTAACTACTGAGCCATGAAAATGAGGTAAAGGTCAGATGTCACCTGCCAGTTGGACATGTACATCTTATAATCATTCCATACACCAAATATAGTTAACCTATTGCTCATAGTTTTTAAGAAAAACAGACCAAAACACAAAAACTTAACAATGAGCAATGAACCGTGAAAATGAGGTCAAGGTCAAATAAAACCTGCCAGACTGACATATACATTGTAAAATATTTCCATACACCAAATATAGTTAACCTATTGCATATAGTATTAGAAAAAAAGACCAAAGCTCAAAAACTTAACTTTAACAACTGAACCATGAAAATGAGGTCAAGGACAGATGACACCTGCCAGTTCACAGGACATGTACACCTTGCAATCATTCCATACACCAAATATAGTAGACCTATTGCTTATAGTATCTGATATATGGACTTGACCACGGAAACTTAACCTTATTCACTGATCCATGAAATGAGGTCGAGGTCAGATGAAAACTGTCTGACAGACATGAGGACCTTGCAAGGTACGCAAATACTAAATATAGTTATCCTATTACTCATAATAAGAGAGAAATTAACATTACAAAAAATATTAACTTTATTTTTCAAGTAGTCACTGAACCATGAAAATGAGGTCAAGGATAATGGACATATGACAGTCGGAAACATCATAACATAAAGCATCTATATACAAAGTATGAAGCATCCAGGTCTTCCACCTTCTAAAATATAAAGCGTTTAAGTAGTTAAGTTAACGCCGCCGCTGCCACCACCGCCGGATCACTATACCTATGTAGAGCTTTCTGCGACAGAAGTCGCAGACTCGACAAAAAATCATCATAAAAAGGCAATAACTTCTAATTAAAAGAAGTTGACTGACAAATTCAACTGTGTTGACTTATTTGTAGATATTGCCTTCTGATCCTTTTTGCTATAAAAGGTTTCTTCTATAGATCATAATCATTAAGAAAAAGGGAACAAGAGGCTGTCAGAGAGACAGCAAACCAGATTTTCCTGCAGAGGTCGAACCCTGAACAGTTGAGCAAGTATGGACACTACATTTAAACTTAAAACAGCTCTGAATTTGGATTGTGATTGAATACTTGACACATCATAGGTTTGTGACACAAAATGAATGTAGTCAAAGAACTGATATATTTGAAATTGGACATTTAAATACCTATTATGGTCCAATATCCAAAATCTAAGTACATATTAGAATCAGCATATCAAAGAACCCCAAGAATTCAATTTTTGATGAAATCAGACAAAAGTTTAATCTAGGACCCTTTGGACCTCAATGTGGACCAATTTGATAAAGGAGCCCACAATCCAAAATCTCTCAACACATGGTTAGATTCAGCATTTCAAAGATCCCCCTAAATTCAATTTTTGTTGAATCAAACAAAGTTTAATTTTGGACCCTGATTTGGACCAACTTGAAAACTGGGCCTAAAAATCTAATATTTAAATAGAGTTTAGATTCAGCATTTGAAAGAACCCTATATATATATTATATTTATGTTGAAATGAAACACAGGTTAATCTTATCGATAATATTTTCTGTGCAAATGGAAATAACTCAAACTGGATAAATAGTTCTCTAAAATAAGATATGATGCAATTTTTCAAATTATAATCAATAATATAATAACAACAACCAGTGATGACTAAGTTCTCTAAATTTAGATATGATTTAACACTCAAACATTGTTAGAATCAGCATATCAAAGAACCAAAGAATTCAATTTTTGATGAAATTAAACAAAAGTTTAATTTAGGACCCTTTGAACCTAAATGTGGTATTATCTTATTAATAATGAAAAGCTCGACCGTTTACAAGTTCTTAAACAGGAGGGGGGTGGGGGTGACCCAAGGGGACTCGCCTTATATTTCATTTGATTTGTTTTATTGTCCCATACAAGAATATATATGGTTTCGGGATGGGGATCTTGACCATTTACAAGTTTTCAAAAAGAAGG